CATTACAGAAATATAAAGCATTCCAAGGATACAAGTGGATTTTCAAGTGACTCAGTACTAGTCGGTGGCCACTTGCTTTCGCTACTGTCTGTAATTTCATCACCTGCATCCAACCTCTGGGTTCTCTCACTCAACACGGACCCCACCCGACAAGGAGACTTTCCGGTCCTGCGTACCAATTGGTTATGGGTCAGACCCGTTTTCTCTGGCACAGTATGCGTACGTGTCACTGGCGACATAGACCTCCGGCAGGAGCTCTCCCCGCTGTCCCTCGACTCCCTCCATCCAGGTAAGGTAGGACCATTTCTTCGGGTCACGGGTCCGGATCTAGCTCGGCCAGGAGAGGGCTCGGATCTCCTCCTTGGAGATTTCCCCATCATTTTTTCCCTTGTCATCTCACCAGAGAGTGACCGATTTTTGAATTTCGGCAGTGCACTCTGCCTGAACGCATTCACATTTTCATTGTTTTCTCTCTTTTCCGTAACAGATGTTGAAACGCTTACACTCTCGCTGATGGTGCTGCAGATCTCAGAAAATTCCTCAGACGCTTCATCATTGTTGAAATCCACAAAGGGTTTCTTTAAAACTCCATCATTTTGCTTCTTTTCATCTGGGATCTCCGGAAAATCCGGCAATAATGGTGAAGACTTTATAAATGGAACTTTATTTTGCTGATTTTCTTGGAATTTCGGAATTATAGATGTTATTTGTTTGGGAATTGCGGGAGTTTCTGAAAGGACTTCTTTGACTGTTTCTTCTTCTAGTGATGGAGGTGGTGATTTAGAAGTGTAAGGATTTGGAGCTGCTGATTTGCTGGTGGTGCTAACGCAACAACCCATTGTAGCTGCTGCTGCTGCTTCTCTCTTATTTTGTAATGGTTTGATTTTTCATGGTGGCGGAGTGGCGGTGGACGGCGGACTTCGAGTTGGAGAGGAAGGTTTGGGGGTTGGAAAGGGAAGTGGAGTGGGGAATGAATGTGGCACTGTGGGAGTGATGAATCAAATGTATTTATTGTGGGTTGTTGCAGTTGGAGCCAGCAAATAATACATAGAGAGTCTGAAAACTTAAAAAGAGCATTCTTTCAAAGTTCCATGGAGAAGTACTTCCATAGAACGATCGCACCATAATAATGGGTTACCATTTTATCTCAATTAGCATATTGGAGTGGGAGAAAAATGTAAAAAAATCAAAGTGACATAAAAATGGAAGTTATTTGAATCACAAGTTTCATAAAATAATCAAATTTTCAACTACAAAGTTAACAACTTTCATAAAAATTTGCCAAAAATCTATTTCTTATCAAAATCAAGTGGGGGCTAAATTATATATGGATAGGAATTAGTGCTATAGTACCTTGAATTCATCTAGGGATGAGTACTTCACCCCTTTGACAAAATGAAATTGTAAGTTGTTAAATCCCATAAAATGTATAATTAAGACATGATTTCAATGAAATATTTACTTAATTAGCAATATTTTTACCTGTTAATAATCTCAATTTTTTTTTTAAAAAAAAAAATCAGACTTGTGGTTACAATTTAAAATAACAAAAATAGACAAAAATTTAAAAACCAAACCATCAACCTCAAAATGTACTTGCAAGTGAATTTCTTAAAATTTATTGGAAAGATTTGTCAGCTCCAATTAAGCCTCTTAACCGTTAGTAAAACTCACGATCAAACTAATGATCATGTCTTGTGTTTTGGGCCCCTAATTGCTTTTACATTTGTTTTATAAAATGCAGCATCCTTCACCTTCTTAATCTTTTCGCTAATCACTTGCATAATTAATGTGAGTATTAGTACACAAGAACACATGCATGTGACCTTTTCTTTAATCACTCTTTGTTACTTTTTGTTTAGGCTTTTGCGGTGAAGCACATGTGACTTCACTGTTCCTCCCATTTGGTCCCCAACATCAACGGTCTGATTAAATTTACCCACCCATTTCTCTTTTATACTTAACATTTTACCTTATTTATCTATTAACCATGCCAATTTGTGAAAATAAAATAGGAAAATTCTTCTTCGACGTGGCCCTGTCCGTCCAGCCCTGCTCAATAAAATATGACTAATAATCTTTGTTCACGTGAACAGAAAATATGCAATTTTTCCATTTGATGTCAAGCTGGCTCAGCTCGTCTCTTCGGGCAAGTTTTATTATTTCTGCTAAGTCAACCCTTATAGTATATTCATAGCGTTACAATAAATTGCAGTAATTTATATATTATGTACAGTACAGAAGATTCATCGGATACACAGTTGGAAAAGGTGTAATAAACTCTGACACATCAAAATAAATGGTTGTAGTTAGTACAATTAACCAATCAAAATGTGCGATGGGATGGGACCCATATTTGTATTATGCGTTTCAGTGATTAGTGTGGTTGAGGGTCGTAAGGTCAAAATTGATTGTGCCTAACAGCGTCATCAATGGCGATAGCGAAGGTAGTTGGTATGCTCAGAACCCTTTACAATTCAAAGATCCTGTGATAACTTGCTCGCTTAAACAAGTTAAAAGATTGAGATTGGATAACATAGGTCTGATTGGGGTAGGATAAAAAAAAAATTATCGCTGATGTGACATATCAACAATAAAAAAATTTATTTATGGTTCTTTCCATTTCATAGAATTATAAGTAACGTTCTCTCATCGTATAAACGATGAAATTTTGTAATCTTATCACAACTGTTAGTGTTGGATAATATAGCTTTTGTATTTCTGTTGTGAACAATTGTATTATCCTTCTACAATTTGGCCCCTATTTAATGTCCATTATTTGATTAAAATAAGTTTTATAATAGTGAATTATTGGAGAAGTAGTTAACAAGTAAAAAAAATTTTGAGTTTACGTACAAATATTTTATTTTGAAAAGTGTAATTGAAAATAAATTTGAGAGAAAATGAGTTTTGAAATAATAGAAATCAAGACCTCACTCTCTCAAGCCTCCGTTTACCAATATATATATATATATATATAAATTCCTCCAATCTTAGAACTATCATAATTGGTTAGTGATTCTTGTTCATATAATTGGTCAAAGGTAATCAAAATTAACTTATTTAACAATCGATCTTCAACATGAATTATTGTACATGTTACAAAACCCTTTCAATATATAATACGAGCATACAATAGAGATCTAAGAACTCATAATGCAAATTAAAGCACTTATCACGAATAATGTCTAATAACACTCATCTAATTATTAATGAAACATACATTATCTTTCATTTTATAAATGGCAGATCATTTGCTGTGACAAACATGAAACAGCATCCAACAACATGATTTTGGTCGGAGATTCTGGTTTTAAATTTCTTTATTTTAGGAACAATCTTATTTTTCAACACTTACCGGAGTAAATAAATGTTCAATTTAATCTCTATGGACGAATGCACAAATGAGCAGTGCATGCTTGTTGACGAATAACGATGCTATTTTTCAATCACGAAACCACCATGATTTCGGAAGAAGCTTCAATTGTTTGTGAAAGATAAAAATTCAAAGCTAAATGCAAATTAAATGATATGTAAATTTTTTTGAATGACTAGTCTTTCACACGTGCGTTACACGAGTTTTGTATTTATTGTATTTTTATTAACATCAAAATTGTAAATTTTTCAAAACTGGTTGAAAATTCGAAGTATTTGGTGAAATCTAATCGTTTGGTTCATTACATTATCGCAGGATGCATCAAGATTTCTTTTTCATTTTTTTTCCTCATTTATTGATTTTTTTATTTGTTTTGTTCATATTATAAATAATTTTTTTGATTTAAAATCTTTTTAATTCTTTTTTCTTTATGAAAAAACTTAATTTTTTCAATTTTAATTAAATAATATTTATATGTTCTTTATTTAATTTTCGCAACATTCTTTTGTTTAATTTGTTTTTATTATATATTTTTTTGAAAATTGTTTTAAAAAAAAATTCTTCACATTATAAATAATTTTTTGTTTGATTTAAAATTCTTTTCGTTCTATGGTTCACATTCTTTTTTCTTCATATTATAAAAAAAACATAATGATTTAACAAATTAAAGATATTAGCGTCAACATTATAGATTTTTCAAAATTGGTTGAAGATTTGAAGTATTTGGTGAAATTCAATCGTTTGGTTCATTGGATTATCGCATGATGCATTGAGATTTCTTTTTCGTTTTTTACTTTTTCCTCATTTTTTAATTTTTTATTTCTTTTGTTCATATTATAAATATTTTTTTCAATTTAAAATCCTTTTTAATTCTTTTTTCTTTATAAAAAACTTAATTTTTTTCAATTTTAATTAAATAATATTTATATGTTCTTTATTTAATTTTCAAAACATTCTTTTATTTAATTTGTTTTGTTTTTATTATATACTTTCTGAAGATTGTTTTAAAAAAAAAAAATTCTTCATATTATAAATAATTTTTTGTTCAATTTAAAATTCTATTCATTCTATGATTAAAATTCATTTTTTTTCACATTATAAAAAATTAAATGATTTAACAAATTAAAGAAGAAGAAAAAATTGCAGGCAAAAAAAAAAAGTTATTATAAAGTTTTTTAATTAAATTGAAATAATATTAAATAAATTCTATTTAATTAAAATTTTAAAAATGATAAAATGAAAAGAATTTTAAACCGAAAAATAAATTATTTATAATACGAAGTAAATTTTTTTTAAAAATATAATAAACATAAAACAAATTTCAAAAAAGTTACGAGAATTAAATAAAGAATATATGAATATTATTTAATTAAAATTAAAAATAAATAAATTTTATCATAACAAAAAAAAATTAAACAGAATTCACTCTCTTTTCAAATAAGAGAATTCAGCTCTCGAAATAAAAGATTCTCTTTGTTTCTCTTCATGGATGGAAAAAATTATTTATTTTTAAAATTTTTTTTCATATTATAAATAATTTTTTTCGATTTAAAACTATTTTTAATTCTTTTTTCTTTATGATTAAACTTAAATTTTCAATTTTAATTAAATAATATGTATATATTCTTTATTTAATTTTTAAAACTTTATTTTCTTATATATTTTTTGAAAATTGTTTTGAAATTTCTTTTTTTCTTCATATTATAAGCGCATAATTTTTTATTCTATTTAAAATTCTTTTCGTTTTATGATACAATGTAATTTGTTCAATTTTAGTTAAATAATATTTATTTTTTATTATAATTATTTCAATTTAACTAAAAAAAACTTTATAATAACCTTTTTTCATTTTTTTTTATTTTTGCCTGCAATTCTTTTTTTTTATTCTTTAATTTGTTAAATCATCTAATTTCTTTAATTCTTAAAAGTCTCAGAAGATTAAAACCTCAAATTAAAAATAATCTATAGTTAAAATGAATTATTTCAAAAGACAAAAATGACCCACCTATTAAGAGGCAGAGAATGAAGAAAGGCAGAGTGGAGGGCCACTCCACTGGCATTGTAGTTGTAATATTTTCACATAACTCACCTATTATCACATCCTAAAAGACAACAAAAATCATGCACCAGCACCACATATAGTGTATTAAATATACAAAAAAAATGAGGAGTTTACGTGTCAAGAAGTAAAGAGACAACAAATATAGAAAGACCTCATCGGACGATTCTAGTCTTAGTTTTTTTGGACCGAATCTTGCAAGAAAGGGTTAGGGCCTTAGTCCCCAATGGGGTTTTTTTTTTAGCTGTCACTCACAGGAAAACTTCATCAACTGAATATGTTTTCCAAACTTTCTTCTATTCCCAATATAAATACTTTCCATTTTTATTGAACAATGACCCTTTTCCATAATCGTTACATAACTGAAGAATGTGAATTTGCTAAAATATTTTATATTTAGTCAG